TACGGTGAGCCGCCTGAGGTGAGTGCCCCACAAATCCAGCACCCCACACCCCGTCCCGCACCCAAACTCCCTCCCAGATACTGTGCTCTGCACCACCTCCTGCACCCCAACCCCCTGCTGGCCCCGCGCCAACCAGACTATAAACCCGAATTTCAATGAAGATCAGAAATGCTGATTTATAGAGTTTTCCAGTTGATGAAGTGCCGGATAAAACAGCTTTTACTGTACTTGGTTTTGTATTTTCTGGCCTTGCAGCTTTGAGGAGCTGTAAAATTGTATAGTTCTATTGGAGATCTCAGGAAATGTGTGATATTTGGAAACATATAAATGCAAGAGATACTTTGAGCACAGTCTCAGTAATGAACATTAGAGAACTTCCTGCTCCTGGACATAGTAGAAACACAAATAGTCTTTTCCTGAGGCATTTTGACATTTTTGTGTCTGGTCCCAGTAAGGAGCCAAAATTCATAAGAAAAAGGATGGGGGGGAAAGAGTTTATAAGTTATCAGTTATTTCATAACTCAAAATATGCTTTGGTGGGTTTTGTGGTTTATTTTTATTTTAAGCAGTTTATTCATTCCCTAATTACAACTGAAAACATCAATGCTGATCATGACAGAAATACAAAGAGAAGGATTCATCTCATCTGGAGTATCTGAAATGAAGCAATTTGATTGTATAAAAGGATTGTATGTGCTTTGCTTGTTTTGTTTGTGTCTGTCTGTGTGTTGAACAGAGCTACTGGCTGTACATGAGTTTATCAGTATATTTTTACCCCAAATGCCCTCAACCTTGAGATTCCTGGTTATCTAGATCATACATAAATCTCTACAGAGTGGGTGCACCTTGTAATTTTCCAGAGTGTGATTTCTGTGTAAGAGCTGCAGAGTGCCGAAACTTTGAAAAGTTAGGTTACCAGACCAGCTTCATTTTTACAAAAATCTTTTGATATAGAGAAATAATAATAGGTGTATACAACAATTTTGGCTGAAAAGTATGAGTTTACATATATATAAAACAAAAAATCTCCACTAGACCCAATCCAAATAATGTAATGATTGGATATGAAACAAAGTCAACATCTGAGGGATCAAACCCAGACCCACTGGACTTACAATCAATGACTGAATTTTTAATGGAGTGTTCTCTGTGCTTTTGATAGGCATTTATCAAGAGTCCACTTTTCAAATGTAATTGGACCATGGAAAATAATTGGTGGTAAAAGTAGTATTGTATTTAATGTTATAATCCCAGATCCTCACTGCACTAGTGCTCTATTTGGCTTTAGCCAATCTTTGTGCTCCTTTAATCCCATGGTTGGCTCCTAGATAAATTAACGACAGCCTTAGGGTTGCTCTACATTTCTCTGGCTTGTAGCTGCTGCTTAAAGACAGATTATGAAGGAAGAGGGCTGTGACGGATGATGGAATAGACTTGGATATCACCTGGGATTCAGACTCACTGGGAGTGGGAAAATTATCAGCTGGATGCTTAAAACAGTTTTCTGGTGCATTTTTCTGGTGCCAGAATAGGAGCCAGGAGGTGGTTTTCATGCAAACATTTAATTCAAGGATCATATGAGCTGTAGATTCAGAAGATATAAATGTATTGTCTCAATCGAAAGACAAGTACATGATGTTTCTGTGGAAAATAAACCATTTAATTACGAATATTGCTGGTTAAGATTAATTTTCATCCCAAACTTCACTGTAACCTCTCCCATACAGTATACACTTATTTCAAAGTTATGAAGTTAAGATCGCTGCCTTGTGCATATGCATTACAATAAATGATCACACAAAATTTCTCTAGTATAATATATATTTTAACTTTCTACAACTTTAGATACAAGATAAATCTCCTAATGTTTGTATGCCTTATGGAAAGTGTTATGGAAGTCAATTATATGCAAGATAGTCAACGAATGAATGAATGACTCCTGAGTTCTGCGTCATTTACTGTAGGTCTTAATAGATTCACCTTTCAGTGTAAAAATACGGCATACTACATTTCATTATCTGAGTTTGTAATTACATAGTATACTGTATAGTATATAGGCCAAAGGAGCAGAGTCAAGGTTGCTCATGCAATTTAAATATACATTTCCTGTCTTTGAAGATCGAATCACGTATCTCTCATGATGGAATTTCACAGGCTTTTCCTTCTAAAGACAAGTTTGTCATTTGAAGCTATTTGTGCAGACACCTTTAAAAAAACCTTAATTTATGAAAGAGACTCAATGATTCACTTCTGTTAGTCAGTGGTCACCTTAGGAAATGTGTTGCAATTCAAAACACACTTTATGAATGAGTCACCAGCAAAAAATCTTACCAATCCAATACCCAATCCAAATAATTTAGTTGCTGCATATGAAACAAAGTCAATAGCCAATGACCTGAATCTTAATGGAATGTTCTCTGAGCTTTTAGCAGGCATTGATTAGGAACCCACTTTTCAAGTATAATTGCCCCATAAAAAAATATCATTTGTGTCACTGAGTGTGATGGGTCTGCTGTGGTCTGATAAAAATATTTTTGAACTGGTTAAGTTTTTAAAACACAAGTTTCTGCCTGCATGGAATATGTTTAATGATAGGGGTTCTTTCAGTAATGAACTCCCTCCATTCTATTGGCACTATACATGTGTACACAACACAGATCTCTATTTTTCAATGTGAGTTACATACACAGAATGGGGCATTGATGCACCACGTATTACATTTTGTGGCCCTATGCCTTGGTATGAGTTATATCTCATTCATAATTACCAGAATGTAACTCTCTAGACTAAATACAACGAAAATGTTGTACTTAATAAGAGGGTATTGAAAACAATATTAAGCAGAAGTAGATTCATTATACATTATGCAATTAGTAATTAAAAGGCTGTTTTCACTGAGTAAATTACTATACATAGATATAATTTAAAGCATATTGGGTTCTTGGTAGACAGAATGGACAGTGAGTACTGATTCCATCAGTGATATGTAGTGAATGATGTATTGGGGCTTGTTACCCTCCTCCCCTCTCCCCCCCCCCCGCCTCATTCAGGCACAGGGTCAACATAGTATGTGATTATGTAATACAGTATGGCTATAGGACTGGTGATTGCTGTAGTTAATGTTTTCTATGCATTTCCATTATAATCCCTTTTTCATTCATAACTTTCTGAAAATTTCACCAGGTCTGGGGTGAAATCCTGGCCCCTCTGAACTAAATAAGAATTCTGCCATTGACTTCATTGGGGTCTGAATTTCAGCCCTCTCAGCTTTAAGAGTGTTGTGGTTTTTGTTTGTTTGTTTGTTTGTTTTCTGTAAGTAGTTCTGTCTCCCATTTATAATAATATAATTGTTATTATTATTAATTTATTATTATTAGTGGTAGTAATAATATCACAGTAGCACCTAAAAATCTCAAATCAGGGATTTATGTCCCATTGTGGTAGGCACAGCACAAGCACTAATTAAAAAGGCAATGCATGCCCCAAAGATATTCTTCAGCATTTTGGAAACAACTGAAGGATAGAGAGTAGAAACCTGAAATGTGACAGTAAAATTACTGTTGTAGAAAATTGCATTGGAGTGTCCTAGTAAAATGTGTTGTATTGTGTAGGTCAAGGAAGCATATACAGAACACATGTACACATGTGCGCACATGCACACACACAGACATTGCTATCTGTGAAGATATTCTGTTTGCTTTATTTTAATGTCATTTTAATTATGTCCATAAGATCATAAAATATAGGGCTGGAAGGGACCTTGAGAAGTCAACAAGTCCAGCCCCCTGGAGGCAGGACTAATTATACTTAGACCGGTTTCAGAGTAGCAGCCGTGTTAGTCTGTATCCGCAAAAAGAACAGGAGTACTTGTGGCACCTTAGAGACTAACAAA